CCAATGCAGGGCTCAAACTCACAAACCATGAGATCATGACCTGAGCCAGACACTTAACTGACTGAGCCACCCAGGCGCCCTTATATATATAAGAATTAGAACTTTGATGTTGAGGAAATGAAACCCCTACTGTATAGGCAAAAACTTCTAGGCCATCATAATGTGTAGCTGTTTCAGTGACATTTATTTAAAATTTATTCTTTTACATACTTTAACCTGCAGTAACCTAGTATTTCAGGATATATATTTTAAATATATATTATAAACATAACTCTCCCTACAGTGCCTATTTCACTTCTTTGCAGTAAATTACTTGAAATTCAGAACTATCACCAGCAGTTTCCTGCTTCCCTTTCAGCAAAAACTTATTTTCCAAGCAATCATTGCCATAATCCTCAAAGAGGACTACAGACAAGTCATTTAAAAAACATGACTGATATTTCAAGCTTTGCAATGTATTTACAGCCTAAGGATGATGTTTAAGCCCTCAGTAAAACAATCCCACCAAGTTCTCCCAAGTGAGTTGTATTTAAAAAGTCACAAACAAATCCTAAAGAATGAGAAGAAAATAAATAGGAGATGAACTATCTGACATCAGAGGAAAATAAGCTCTCTAGTCACACAAGACTTACATAAAAAAAGAAGTTAATAGATTTTATGTATTCACGAAATACAGTTCTGTACATGAAAAAGCCATAAACAATGTTGAGACAGCTGATGAAAGGTAGAAAAATCACAAAATAAAAGGTTAATATCCTTAGATACAAGACTTTTCATAAGTCACTGTGAAAATAAAGATTTTAGTAGAAAAAGAGGCAAAAAGACAATGAATTGGCAATTCAAAAACAGAAGAAGAAATACAAAGGATCAACGAACAAGAAAAAAACATGTCAAACTTCACAAAGATCAAATAAATGCAAACACACACAATTTATCTAGGAAAGGAGTAAAAATATATTCCTGAACCCCTTACATACTGCTGACAAGAACAGTTGTTACAGTCCCTGTCAATGCATAACAAAAACCTTGAATATGTCTGGAAACAACTCTACTTCTAGACCCTTATTCTAAACAAACTTAACATAGATGAGGGCAACACACATACACACACACACACTTATAAATGTACACTTGTGTGCAAGAAATACTTAAATGTCCTAAAAATGTGGTAATGGTTTACTGATTTTCTACTTACACCATAAAATTTCAGAGAACCATCAAAAATTACATAACAAATGATCAGAATATAGTAAGTGAAAAAGGCAAGTAATTAAATCACATATACTACGAGCCAAGTTTTTATTTATATATATACACACACATGAACACACACACACAGAGAACAATTACTAGAAAGGTATATATCAAAACATTAACAGTCAATCTCTTTGGGACGGTAAAATTACAAGTGGGTTTTCTTCATTCTGCTTTACTAGGTCTTCCAAGATTTCTACAATAACTGTGTTATCGCTTTTGTAGTTAGGAAAGTGTTTAGGAATTATAAAGCACTATTAAAAAAAAAATATGCAGCCAAAGAATAATCCTTAAAAAGTTGAGCTGACAGGGTTGAACACCACTATTCTTATTTGTTTGCAGTCATGACTACACAGGTATATACAATTGTCAAAGCTTATCAAAATGTTGGTTTAAGATCTGAGCATCTTATAAGTATACATCATTTTTCTAAATTTAGATATAATTCTTTAAATACTACCTTTAACCCCCCCCCAAAATAAATAAAAAATAAAATAATAAACAAACAAATATTATCTTTAACCCGAAAAAAAAAAAAGTTGAGGTGAAAACTTCTGGTAAGAAAGGACCAAGGTGGCAGTCACATTCCTAGCCTTATGTGCGCTGCTGAAGAAGGATTGTCTGAAGCCCTTCATAGACTTCAGAATTTTCTTTCTGCTGTCATAAATGGCAGCTTCCCAGAGGCTGAAACTATTTGTTTGATAGGTGGAGAACTCTATTTACCCAGTCCTTAGGCTGGAAATTTCTCCTTAGCCCGGGGATACCATATATCAGGATGCAATAGAATACTTCATTTATAGATGACATTCATTCATTCACCCAACAAATATTTATTTAGTACTTACTATGGGCTGGTTATACCCTCTACTACAGTCTGAAGCTTACTACTGACTTAAGGATTAAAAAATGCATGTCCTTCTTGTAAGTAGAAAATGATAGAGGAAAAACTTATTTGGATGAAGGCTACCTGAGAATATACTAAGAAAAGAAACGACAGAACAGTTACACGTGAACAACCTACCTGTTTCTTGAAATAACCAATTGCATATTCATCTGCATATGTGAGAAAGTTCAGGATGTCATGCTTTATATGATATTCTTTCAAGTGATTCATCAGGTGTGTTCCATAGCCCTATGTGAAAGTTAGTACACAAACATATTAGGTTCTGGAGAAAGGACATTCCTACAAATTCACTGGGAAATGTTGGCAAATTTAGAAGTTGGTACTTTGATACATGTTACCAACATAGACTAACATCCGTTCTCACATTTCTCAACTTTGAAGATGACCTACAAAACCAAAAATTTCAAAATCCTTGAACTGAGATATAATCAACATTTAAAAATACAAGCTTCTGGTTCTTTGAAAAAAACACACCAAAGCTACAAGAGGCTAGTTCAAACCTAAAGAGTGATGGCTGAATATTAATAAAGCAGTTTGGGGACTAAATATTCTGATTTCTGCTTCTCTTTAAAGTATTTGAGAACCTGAGATGCAAAGAGCAATGTAAATGAAAACTGCTAGGGGCGCCTGGGTGGTTCAGTTGGTTAAGCATCCAACTTCAGCCCAGGTCACGAGCTCATGGTTTGGGAGTTCGAGCCCTGTGTCGGGCTCTCTGCTGTCAGGTCGGAAGGCCCCTTCAGATTCCGTCTCCCTCTGTCTGCTCCTCTCCTGCCCATGCCCTCTCTCTCTTTCTCAAAAATAAACATTAAAAAAAAAAGTGCTAATCTTTACTAGAATACTAACCCAAGCGTTTCCTGTATGTATACAAATCAGCAACCCTTCCAAAGAAATGTAATCATATCACATAGACAGGGTTTTCATCTTTGTCTTATCAGGCCTTTCCGAGCGAGGTCTAACAAACCCAGGATCTCTGAGAGAGTCAGAAGACATAAGAAGTAAACTAAAGACAGTGAACAATGCTGAATAAATTAATGATTGAAATACAAAAAAAAAAAAAAATGCAAGTATTAGGTTTTTCAGTCATATACAAAGCTTAGACAAAAATCTATACATTTAAAGTGACTGTTTTAGAACTTCATTAAAAGAGGGGAAAGTAAATCCAAGCATCCAGACACAAATACCCTCACATAAATATTTTAGAATTTGGTGACACACTTTTCTAAAGAACTCAAATGTGCTTACTCATGGAAATGTAGTTGCACAGGGGGAGAAGGATCTTTGAAGTCATTTGATCTAATTCTCTATCCCATGTGACGCTAGAAGGCTTCTGCCATCTATCCTGAAAAGGCGAGCTGTTAGAACCCCGCCAGGGTAGGGGGATCACTTGGTCCTTACATAGGTCATTTCATTTTCAGATATTGTTATGGTTGGGAAGTCCTTCCTAAAGTTTACCCGAGATCTGACCCTTTCTTATTTCTACTTATTGACCTTAGTTCTACTCTTAGAGTAACAAAGGATCATTCTTGCTCGTAATAACTCTTCAAGCCCTTCAAGACTATACTCTCTCATGCCCATCCCTACCTCCCAAACCCCATGTGAAATACCATTGAGGTTTTAGTCCTTCCTTAAAAGGCATGACTGGAAGACCCCTTATGAATCTAATCATTGTCTTTAGGGCTTTCTCCTGTATATCCATGCTCTTCTAAAGCAGAGATCCCCGGACCAAGCATAATAATTAGGGGATGGTCTGCCCAGTGAATAGGATAATAGTATTACCACCTGATTTTTCCAGAAATTATTCTTCCATTGATGTTACCCAAAGGACATCTTAGCTTTCCACAAACATATCCCAATACTGAAATATTGTGATTTCAATAAAACTTCGATAAAAAGAGGAATGAAATGTCTCTTTCCTTGAGGAGAAGATGGTAAAATGGGGAAGATAAACCCATAAATACAAAATAACACTATAGAGCTGTGCTGTTCAATATGGTAGCTCATAGCCACATGTGGCTTTTGAGCAACTGAAATGTGACTAGCTGAAACTGAGATGTACTAGAGTGTGTAAAATACACATCAGGGAAAAAAAGCTCAATAACAGCTTACCCTTATTCCATGTTGAAATGACAGTATTTTGGTCATGTTAGGTTAAATAAAAAATACAAAATTAATTGCACCTGTTTCTTTTTACTCTTTTAAATATGGCTACTCAAAAATTTAAAATTACGTATGTGGTGGGGCACCTGGGTGGCTCAGTCAGTTGAGCGTCTGACTTCAGCTCAGGTCATAATCTCACGGTTCGTGGGTTCAAGCCCCACATCAGGCTCTGTGCTGACAGCTTGGAGCCTGGAGCTTGCTTCTGATTCTGTGTCTCTCTCTCTCTCTGCCCCTCCACTGCTCACGCTGTCTCTGTCTCTCAAAAATAAATAAATGTAAAAAAAAATTTTTTTAATTATGTATGTGGCTTGCATTTGAGGCTCAAAGTATATTTCTATTGTGTAGCATTGGTATAGAATCATGTATTTGTACCTACAATACAGAAAAAGGCTGTATGGTATTTAAGAGGGGGAAGGAGGAAGGTACATAAGGAAAAGAACATGTTTAAGCTAGGCCTTAAAAGAGTTTGTCAAATGGAAAGCAAGGTAAGAGGATGGATTGGAAATGTAAATGTAAAGAAAAACAAACTTATATAAAAGCATTATAAAGAAATATTGGAAAGTGGGTTTATAACATAGGGGTACAAAAAGGCTTCCTAAAAAAAATGTAAAATGCAAAAGTATAAAGGAAAGAAGAGATTAAGTAGATTACTTCAAATTTTAAAACTCCTTAAAGATATTATAAGCAATTGAAGATACCATAAACAAAACACAAATGACAACTGACAGCACAGTTGTAAGACATATTACAAAGATTTAACATCTTCTATGGGATCAGTACAAAAAAAAGAAAGACAGGGGTGGCCTGGGTGGCTCAGTCAGTTAAGCATCCAACTCTTGGTTTTGGCTCAGGTCATGATCTGGTGGTTTGTGAGCTCGACGCCCACATCAGGCTCTGCACTGACAATGTGGAGCCTGCTTGGGATCCTCTCTACCTCCCTCTCTCTCTGGCCTTCCCCTGCTCTCATTCTGTCTCAAAATAAATAAACCTTAAAAAGAAAAAGAAAAATGGTCAAAGCACAGGAACAAGTCATAGGTATCACCAAAAAAAATAAATTCCGACGTTCAACTTCAGTAGTAATTAGAGCACTCCATCGGGAAATGCAACATACTGTCACTCAAGAGTATGTCACCATCTCTAAGGTTGATGGTATCCAGTGTCAGTAAAGACAGGGGAAACGGTACTCTGCAAAACCATTTACACTGGTAAAAATGTAAATTGGTAAGCCCATTGACAAGGGCAATCTAGAAATATTTTTTTTTTTTTTTACTTCAGACAGGCCATATTCAATTCTGTGTAATTCCACTTCTCAGCGTCCAGAAAAACATTTCCAAAAAGAGCACTGTTTGTGAAAGAAAACATCTGTAAATAAACATAACTGTCTTCTTTTTTAAAATTTTTTAATGTTTATTTATTTTGAGAGAGTGGGGGAGGGACAGAGAGAGAAACACAGAATCTGAAGCAGGCTCCAAGCTTTGAGCTGTCAGCACAGAGCCCGATGTGGGGCTCAAACTCACAAACTGTAAGATCATGACCTGAGCCGAAGTCGGATGCTTAAATGACTGAGCCACTCAGGTACGCCAAACATAAATGTCTTCAATAGAGAATATTATATAAATTATGTTACTTCCACATTATTAAATACTATAGAAAGAAAATAGCTGTATATCAGCACTAATAGAAATTTCTGCAATGATGGAAATGTTCTTTATCTATGCTATCCAATGTGGTAGCCATCAGTCACATGTGGCTATTGAGTACTTGTGTGACTGAGGAACTGAATTTTAAATTTTATTTAATTTTAATTGATCTAACTATAAGTTTAAATAAGCACATATATGCACTAAAGTTGAAAGAGCTCTAAGACATTATGAAAAGTGTTTATGTCAACAGCAACAAAACACATAGCCGCTCTTATAAACAGGTACATTTCCCTGCACATAAATCAGTAAAGAATCATCTGGAAGGTTGCACACGAAGTTGACAATAGTGGGATGGCAGGGGGAAGGGGGAGTGGGATTTTTGCTTTACCTAAAAGTGTATTTATGTATGATCTATGTAATTAAAAATTATGTTTAAAGAAAAATTAAAAGAAAACTAGAAAAAAGAAAAGGTTGGCTAGTTGGAGGGAACTGCATGGGCATAGAAATAGCAATATTTAGGAATTCATAAGAAATGCATCTTCTGACAAAACTCACTTTAACATAGATAAAGTTGATGGAAGAAAGCGAGGCTTTTGTTACAAGGGGTTAATAGGCCATAAACTTTCTAAGCTTTGCCCACAATCCAATAATTTTTCTCAAAATGAACAGTAATGGTTCTTTTGTAAATAGCTTCTCAAAACCCACATAAGATATTGTTCATCACTGGCCACTTATTTGTCACCTTGCCAAATAAATTTTCCAGATTCCAATCACTTAAGAGTAAGGGTTGTATCTTTTAACTTAAATCCTGTCTAGTACTGTGACTGGCAGTAGAGGCAAAACATTTCCTTGATTAGCTTAAATGTTTCCTTGGCAGGCAATTAGCAATATTAAACCACTATATACAAATGTTTAGATTTTCACCTAGAACTTTCTCCCTTTATTGGTCCACCTTTATTGTTAACTATCACCAAAGGTTTTATTTACTTATTTTTTTTAAATTTGAGTTTCTGATACCTTATTTTTTCTTTTTTTATTTTTTTTTTATTTTTTAATGTTTATTATTGAGAGACAAGAAGACATAGAGCTCATGAGGAGGGGAGGGGCAGAGAGAGAGAGGGAGAGACAGAATCCGAAGCAGGCTCCAGGCTCTGAGCTGTCAGCACAAGCCTGATGTGGGGCTCGAACTCACAAACGTGAGATCATGACCTGAGCCAAAGTCGGATGCCCAGCCAACTGAGCCACCCAGGTGCACCAAAGGTTTTCTTTTCTAAATCCATCTAGCAACCTCAGTGTTTATTTAAATATTAAGATATATAAATATTAGCTCCATAACTTTAAGTGTGCATGATAACAAATCCAAATAGTTTTGAGATGACAAGATAATTCTAAAACCAGGTGACGAGCTTCAAGTAAAATCTCAAATGTTATCTTGCGTGTGCTCTGAGATAAAGTCACATACAAATCTTATTTCCTCATTCTCAGGAATTTATATGCAAGCTGGATTCTCTAAAACGAGAGGAGGCAAATTTGAAAGTATCATTTAGCCAAGATTTTTTTTTTTTTTTAATTTTTTTTTCAACGTTTATTTATTTTTGGGACAGAGAGAGACAGAGCATGAACGGGGGAGGGGCAGAGAGAGAGGGAGACACAGAATGTGAAACAGGCTCCAGGCTCTGAGCCATCAGCCCAGAGCCCGATGCGGGGCTCGAACTCACGGACCGCGAGATCGTGACCTGGCTGAAGTCGGACGCCCAACCGACTGCGCCACCCAGGCGCCCCGCAAGATTTTTAACATATTAAATAGAAATCTAAAACCTCCACTTATGAACTTGAGGTTTTTTCCACATAGGTGCCACCAACACTTGCTTTTATCAAACTTCCCCATTTATCAAGACTAATCTTCATTTTCTAGAACTATAGTTTCAAGTCATTTACAAAAAGTGGCTTTTTCTAGTTCCTCCTACTGGGTTTGTAATATTTGGCCACCTGCCTGCAAATCTTTAGAAAATTACATGGTTTGGGAAAAAAATAAACTGCCCTTCTGGGAAGTAATAAGACAGAGTATCCAATTCATATTAAATACCTTTAGTTTTCCTCTGGTGGCCCTAAAAGCGTCCACGTCACCCTCAATCAACCTCTCCAAACAAGGTGTTTGGTGTAAGTTTTCTCTGCAAACAAAAACTTTGCAATCTTTTTCTGAAATCATAAACTAAGGACATGTTTGCCAGTTCCCTCTCCCTATGAAAAGCCAAACAAATTTTGCTTTTAAGTACGTTTCTAAACTCTGCATACTTGAAATTGTTTCCCACTTTGGCGAGCAGAAACTAAAAAATGATACGCATAGCAACAGCACCATCTAAAGACACGCTGTCAGAATTCCTTGGAAAAAGTGCGAGACGTCAGTTTTGAGCCAATTTGGGCTCTCACCTTCCCCAGTCAGAATGACAGATGTATGACTGATGAATTTTGTTTATCATTTGCTGCTCAGTACTATGAGTCAAAGACAAAAAGCCCCACTTGTGCTTCATGAGAAGAAATCAGCAGCTATCATGGGCTCTGTGACCAGAGTAAAGCCGTTGATGAAAACCAAAGTACCCACAGCACTGGCTGTAGCCCTCAATCAGAGAATGATTCCTACCAGTGAATTACTGCTGTTTTTTGTAAACGGCATTGCTTCTTTGCAGCTAGAGCAAGCAACAGTGTCCCTAGACCTGCACTGCCCGATATGGGAGCACTGGCCACATGTGCCCAGGGAGCACCTGAAATGTAGCTAGTCCAAATGGGGACGTGTTCTAAGTGTAAAACACATCCTAGGTTCCGGAGAGTTAGTACAAAACAAAGAATATAAAATGTCTCATTAGTGATTCTCTGTGACATTGAGTACAGTGACACCTCTTTGGGTAGTGGGTAAAATAAAATACGTTGTTAAAATTAAATTTGCCGTTCAGGCTCTGCTCTGTGAGCTTGGAATTCTCTCTCTCCTCTCTCTCTCTGCTCCTCCCATGCTTGTGTGATCTCTATCTCTATCTCTCTCAGAATAAATAAACATTTAAAAATAATGAAATAGAAAAGAAAAGAAAAGAAAAGAAAAGAAAAGAAAAGAAAAGAGAAAAGAAAAGAGAAAAGAAAAAAGAGAAAAGAAAAGAAAAAAGAGAAAAGGAAAGAAAAGGAAAGAAAAGAAAAGAAAAGAAAAGAAAAGAAAAGAAAAGAAAAGAAAAGAAAAGAAAAGAAAAATTTTGCCAGGGTGCCTGGATGACTCTGTCCGTTGAACATCCACCTCTTTTTTTTTTTAATTTTTTTTTTATGTTTATTTATTTTTGAGACAGAGAGAGACAGAGCATGAACAGGGGAGGGTCAGAGAGAGAGGGAGACAGAATCCGAAACAGGCTCCAGGTTCTGAGCTGGCAGCACAGAGCCCAACGCGGGGCTTGAACCCCAGACCATGAGATCATGGCCTGAGCCGAAGTCGGATGCTTAACCAACTGAGCCACCCAGGTGCCCGAACATCCACGTCTTGATTTCGGCTCAGGTCATGATCTCACAGTTTGTAAGAGGGAGTCCTGTGTTGGGCTCTCTGCTGACAGTGGGGAGCCTGCTTGGGATTCTCTCTCCCTCTCTCTCTGTTCCTCTCCCACGGGCACTCGCGCTCTCTCTAAATAAAAACTTCAAAAAACGAAAATTTAAAAAAAAATTTTTTTCAACGTTTTTATTTATTTTTGGGACAGAGAGAGAGAGAGAGCATGAACGGGGGAGGGGCAGAGAGAGAGGGAGACACAGAATTGGAAACAGGCTCCAGGCTCCGAGCCATCAGCCCAGAGCCTGACGCGGGGCTCGAGCTCACGGACCGCGAGATCATGACCTGAGCCGAAGTCGGACGCTTAACCGACTGCGCCACCCAGGCACCCCAAAAAATCGAAAATTTAATTAAGAAAAGAAAATTAATTTTGCCTGTTTCCTTTTCTTTCAATGTAGCTACTCGAAAACTTAAAATTACATGCATGGCTCACATTTGCACACTGCATCATATTTCACTGGACAACGTTGCCTCAGACATTCCAGTCATTTTTCTCAGCAGCTATCTAATCCTGAGTTAATTGTCTTCCCACTATTTGCCCTAGTTTTGCATGATAGTTTTTAGGGTTCCCAAAATACCAAATGAATAATAAAAACACATTTCCTGGTTCCATATTCCTAAAAGCAGCAGCAGAATAGAACAAGACACACACTAGATCTGAGGTCTTTCTGACAACAGAGTCTACAGTTTATTCCAGTCAGACTGCAACACCAAATGCAGTTTCAAGGTAACAGCCTCGCTCCGGGGGAGGAAAGAACCAATGCCAAGGCCAAGTGGGAAGGTAAATGAACCACACACACAGACAGACACACACAGGTAGGCATGCACACGCACATGCGCGCACACACCCCACATTCCAAACCCAGCATGAATACTTCTAAAACACAGACCTAAATTTCTTCAAATTTTTCATGACTTCCCTTCTAGAATTTCTTTAGCCCTTGACTGGTTTTAGAGACAAAGCCATAAGACATCTTCCTTAAGTGTAAGCCACCTAAGTCATGTAGCCCACGCCACATCCTTTCTGGTGGTTCAGCATTACCAACTGTGTGTGTGTGTGCCTGTGCGTGTGGAAATTAACAATGAACAGTGAGATTTCTTTTCGAACCTCCCTTCACTTGCCATAGACTGTACTTCAGTTGCATTTGGGGCTGTGTGGGGTCCTTGTTCCTTGCCCCAGGTCCAAACCATTGGGAGAAGCTGACCTATTGGGACATGGAACCATCTACTCTTGTCACACACATACACAGACACCTGCAGCCAGAAAACTCTTCTCGGAAAGTCCTGAACTCCACTTTAGACATTCTGCAGACATGATACAGAGACAGACCTTGCCAAGCTCCACAACTTTAGGGAGAAGCACCGCATTCAGTTTTTCTTCTAACACCTTGGGTTACCCTTACCTTGACTTGCTCATTTGAGGTTACAGCACAGAAAACAATCTCTGTGAATCCTTGGGATGGGAACATACGGAAACAGATACCACCGATGACACGGCCATCTTTAATTAGGGCAAGGGTTTTGTGTTTCCTGAAAGAATAAGATTATGGCAAAGTTTTACCTATTTTGGTTATATAAAAATACTTTTTGGGGTGTGCCTTATGAACCAACCAGGATAGGAGGGGAGTGGTTTTCTGGAGTTTCTATGGCTGCTTCCTTTATCTAACCACTATCTTGGCAGAACATTCTTTTATTTTTATTTTCATTTTTATTTAATACAGAATGTTTCAAGAATCTGCATGTCATCCTAGCTCAGGGGCCATGCTAATCTTCTCTGTATCGTTCCAATTTTAGTGTATGAGCTGCTGAAGCCAGCACAGAACATTCTCAATGTGAACTCTAGAGTAAGCTTGCCTGCACAAGACTTCATTCATCCAAAAAAAATGTCAGCCACCTACGAAGGGCCTGAGGTTTACAAATAAAGGACAAAGTATGTGTGGAGGTGCTCACCGGTACTGGAATGGTGCTACACTCAATGCCAAGGGTCCCAAATTGAGGGTTCAGAGGGAAGGCACAGTCGTGGACAAATGTGGCACATGTTTCTGAAGAGTTTACTCTTACTCAAAAATATTACAGAAACATGATGGAAGAGAATACAAATCCACATGTACAGTTCGTCAAAACTTGTACTGTAGCATCTCTTCAGAACTTCCAAAATGTCACACTGAATGGTCACATGCAGGGATCACAGTCCACATAGGCTGTGGGGCTATATGCGTTAAAATACATTCAATTAGAGACCTTTAGGTTTTCTGTTGTTGGGGTTTTACTTAAAGCAACGGATTTTCAAATGTACCTGTCTGATAGCTCAGGAATCTTCCCATAGTTAAGACCCAGCAACAGTGGTACCTGTTAAGATACCAAAATCAAGCATGTTTTTGGCTATGAAAGAAGTGGGACCCTTCTTGGTGTTAATACTTCACTACTGTAATGAATGAAGCACAGGATAGTCACGAGCCACTCAAAGTAGAAACCTTCGTTATTATTAACAAAAAAATGTATAAATTGTTGAACAATTAATCTTACTGCTTTTAAACATGGCACTTAGCTTGATGGAGCTCTGTATTCCCTGGCATGACAAGAGGCAGCAGGATTCAGTGACCCTGGCTGACTTCTAGTATCTGAGTGGTTCCTCCTTCATTTAAAAAGGAAATAAGAAAGAAAGAAGAGCCAGGCAGTCGAGCACCACTTACGGGTCGAAGACAAGCCGTGTGATATACTCTTTGGGCATCCGGGGCAGCTGGTGGGAGAACACATTCTGGAGACCGACTAGCCACATCAGAATCTTCTTGTTGGGTTTCTGGTTCAGGGAATTGCCGACCACGTGAAATTCAATCACACCCCTGCGCTCCTCCAGCCTCGCTGCCTCATCCCTGGCTGAATGTGCTGACAGTAAATTGGTCTGCAATGTGGGAGACAAGAGAAATTAGGCAGAGCTCTTCTCTTAAGACAATGGAGATGGGATCTCTCAATGTTTCTCTTACTTGTTCTAATAAGATGCTCATTTGTGGATTTTCAGGGACCCAAACAACATATACCAGTTACGAAAACAAAACAGAAAAGGGAGACAAAACATTTTGAGAGATTACAGTATTATATGTGTACATGCATACTTATTGTAGATTAGGAGTCATCAAACCTTCCTGCAAAGGGCCAGATCGTAAATAGAAGGTCTCGGTGGCAGCTAGTCAACACTGTTGCCACAAAGACATACACACGTGAATGGGCGTAGTAGTGTCCCAATAAAACACTATTTAAAAGCAGAGGGAGAGCAGACCAGATTTGGCCTGTGTGCTACTCTTTGGTCTAGAGGAATCCCATCTGGCTGAACTTTGTAGAACCCTCAGGATGACAGACCCGCCCCCGCCAAATTCTCACTGCAGTCCCGACAGTGGCAGTCACGTTTACAGTGTCAGCACCTCTTTTTGGAAGATAGTTTTCTTTCCAGAGGGTCATCTGTTGACCCACTCTCCACCACAGCTGGTGGCACAATCCCGTGCTGGCACTTCATGCTCCCCATCCTATTTAATCCACCCAGGGATGTGCAGGTAAATGTTCAACAAATAGCTCCCGGGGAAGAACAGCCCCAAACGGTAGCACTTGCTCATCCCGTTGGTCTACAGCTGGCTGCCCAGGTGACCAGGTTCCACTGTGGTCAACTTCAAGCTAACATTGCATTTAACAACCAGCTCACAAAATTCCTGAAAATTTAACAACTGCCTTGTGTACGCCTATATGAGCCAACTCCAGTTCACTATCAAATCCACCCAACAAATCTGGAAATGTGTGATCACATCCACACGTCACAGCTGAAAAACCGAGCTGAACTAATTTGCGAAGGTACTAACTCCTTGAAAGACAAGTACAGAAAAGGTACTGCAGTCTTAGATTCCCAGGACTGGATATATATATCTAACAAGAAATGAGAAGAATAATCTTACAATGAGATCTTTCTCTTAAAACATTCCTGTTCTCTGAATTATCCTCAATACTATCAAACAAATATCTAAGGAAACATGACAAATTAAAAATTGATGGAGCAGAGCCACGCTAAAAAAATTTTACAAGATATTTTATAAGATAATCTCCAAGACATCTCTTCATTTCCTGGAAGCTGTCACAAATGTCTTAAACTGCCCTGCCCGTGGATGCAATGCAATGGGATAACAGCAAAATTTTTACCAAAAATGCTTTATTTGAATCGAATCATGAATAAATAGACAAATCCAAAAGGGGTCATTATGGAAAACTAGGGAGCAGGATTCTTCAAAATGGAACTGCCATTTAAAAAAAAAACAAAAAACGGACGGGGGAACTCTTCTAGATTAAAGGAGACTAAAGAGATGAAGAGAAAGAACTAAACGCAATTCATGATCCCTGGCTGATCCTTGAACAACAGCAACAAATGTTATAAAGGACATAATATGGTTATATGGGGAATTCAGATATGGGCTCTCTATACATTAGGCCAAGGGTCAGACTTTCTTATAAAGGGGCCAGGTAACAAGTAGTTTAGGCTTTGTAGGTCCTACACCTGCTGTCTTAATTATTCAAATCTGCTCTTGTAGTGCAAGGCAGACATAGACAACATGTTTAAATTACAATTTATTTACAAAAACAGCCAGTGGGCTAGATTTGGCCTGTAGGCTGTAGTTTGCCAATCCATATATTAAAAAATGTTGTGACCTGGCTAAATTTTCTGAATGGTAGCTACACTGTGGTAATGTAAAGGAATAGTCTTTATCTTAAGAAATACAGGTAAAAATAGGGTGAAATGTTGTGACATCTATATTTAATTCTGAAATGGTTCCAAATGGTTCACAGGAGAGAGAGACAGAGGAAATGCAAATGTGGCATGTTAACAACTGGTGAATCTAAATAAAGAAACTGGGGGTGGGGGGGGCACCTGAGTGGCTCACTTGGTTAACTCTTGATTTTGGCTCAAGTCATGATCTCACAGTTCATGAGTTTGAGCCCTGCATTGGACTCTGCTCTGACAGCACGGAGCCTGCTTGGGATTCTCGCTCTGCCTCTCCCCTCTTGTGTTCTCTTTCTCTCTCAAAAAAATAAACTTAATAAAAAAAAATTAAATTGGAAAAACTATGAATCTCCATCACGAAATTTTTATAACATTTGTCAGGATTTAAATTTTTCAAGTTAAAGAGCTGAGGGAGGTGGGAATACCTTCAGCTGTGTGAGATTATTAGCATATTTCTCTGTGGTGTGATATCCACCCAGGGGAACCACCTCTCCACCAGCTTTTCTTGCCCTCCACACCTTGACCACCTGGTTGAATGTAAACCAGGGTAACATAACATGCTATCTCTCAGTGATACCACCCCCACTTCCAACAGTTGGAGACAGAAAAGGGCTACCAGCTGGCTGCTCTGGTTTACTCTGCTGACCTCTGGTCCAAGCATTGCTGCAGGGTCCGTGATGGTAGACATGACCTCGTCAATTAATTCCATTGGAATATCCCCCATAACCCGGGGTTTCTTGGCCTCCTCCAAGGCATGAGAGTCATTCATTTTCCTCTTTTCTCCTGTGATGATCAAAACAAAAGGGCAAACAATGGGTGATCGTAAATACAAAGCAGATAATACGTGACAACTAATCCAACTAATTTTCTGTTAACATTGATGGGCATGGAAGTCAACTCTCCATTTACCCAGGAAGGGGTGGCTGTGGAAGATGGGAAAGAGAAGGGAGGAGGTCCCAATAATCACCAACCACAGATACATTCAGAATATTTTCTACTTTCTATGATAATTTTTTAACTTGCTATATGAGTTATGTGTTCATTTGCAAATGCAAGGGGTGATTTCAGTTATCACTGGTTATTAATCTCTAAATTTAGTCTCTTTGTGGTCAAAGAACATGGTTCATATGATAACAAAACATCAAAAATTTCTGAAACTTACTTTAGAACATAAAATATGACCAATTAATTGTAAATGTGTATTGTCTTCTTGAAAGTAATGTGTATTGTATGACTTTTAGGAGTAATGATCCCTGTATATCCATTAGAGTAAGCTTACTGATTATGTTTTCAGGGTTTCTGTATCTTTTTGATAGCTTTGTCTATTTGAACTATGAATTACTCAGAGATGTTGCTTCAAGCCTTCAACTATTGGTTGATTGGGTTGTTTCTCTTTCCAGTTCCGGCAATTTTCTTTTATGATGTACGCATGCGTGTATATGTATAGGTACATGTATATTATGTATGACTATATATATTTGACCTATACTAATGAAATGTTTATTTTGCTAGAGAATTTAATTTTCTCATTATAAAATAACCCTCTTGGGGCACCCAGGTAGTTCAATCAGTTAAGGTTCCAACTCTTGGTTTGGGCTGAGGTCATGATCTCATGGTTTCATGAGTTCAATCCCCATGTCAGGCTCCGTGCTGACAGTGTGGAGGCTGCTGGGGATTCTCTCTCTCCCTCCCTCTCTTTCCGCCCCTCCCCCACTTGTGCTGTCTCTGTCTCTCTCAAAATCAATAAACTTTAAATAAATAAATAAATAAATCCCTCTTTATCTCTCACGATACTTTTTTGCCATAAAATGATACCCCACAAAGTGAGTAGGGCCATTCTTGACAAGTCACATGCTGGGAAAGGCCAGGCAAAGATAACTTTTTCCCACTTTCTTCCTTAGATTACATGGTGGCTTGTTTGTTCTTTCTACTATCATGGTTGGTTTTTCCTCTTTTTTTCCCCCTGTCATAAAATGTCATAAATTTATTTTTACAATAAGTTTAAAATTTGTTTAGATGTTCAAATCTAATTATTCCTCACTTGTGAATCCCACTAGGCACATTTCCACACATCTTTAGTTAAAGGAGCAGAACAATGTAACGTATCTTGTCTGTATAAGATGCTTCCATAAACATTATGCCACTTATTAAATGGCTTTTGTTGGGGCGCCTGGGTGGCGCAGTCGGTTAAGCGTCCGACTTCAGCCAGGTCACGATCTCGCGCTCCGTGAGTTCGAGCCCCGCGTCGGGCTCTGGGCTGATGGCTCAGAGCCTGGAGCCTGTTTCCGATTCTGTGTCTCCCTCTCTCTCTCTGCCCCTCCCCCGTTCATGCTCTGTCTCTCTCTGTCCCAAAAATAAATAAAAACGTTGAAAAAAAATAATTAAAAAAAATAATAATAAAAAAAATAAATAAAATAAATGGCTTTTGTTGAGTTCTTGTTATTATAACTCTTTTTTAGTTGTAAATGAGAATCTTTTCAGTCATTTGACCAACATGCCTCCAAATTCTATGATTCCCCAAAAAGTAATGCTTTGAACTATTTATTTTGTAGCCAAGGTTTATAATAACATGCCCCAAACTCGATAAATTGCTGTTAGTGTCATTGTAAGAAAGTATCTGAGGCTACATCCAAGCTCACTGGCGAAGAGTTTCTGCATTGATGAGTGGCATCTCCCTTGGAAGTGAGAAAGTAAATGGTGGCACACATGTTAAATATGTGGTACTGCATTTAAAATTCTCTTCTTTCCTCTGGTCTGACACTTCTTTAATGTCAAGATTTGGTCATATCTTGACAAGATGTTAAGCCCATGGACAGAAGGACAACCTTCAAAACATTCTGTAACTAGGAAATGCCTTTAGGGTTAAGAGATGGTTTTGCCCACATGGCAGATTACATTAGCAGCCAAATTCTTTACCCTCCTGGTATCCACACTCTTGCCATGTGACTTTGTGGTTCTTCTTACAAAAGAAGTAAGAGTACATTTCTCCACCCCTTGAATCTGAGTTCGACCATGTAATTGGCTTTAGTTGACAAAATAAGGCAGGGGTGATGGTATACCAGTTCTGAGTCCAGGCTTCTAGAAACTGTATTTCTACTTGTTCTCTGGTACTTCTGCCATTGTCAGAAGGACATATTCTGCTCCAAGAAAAGCAGCCCAGTGATCCCAGGAGGAAGATGAGAAATATTTGGAACAGAGATGCTCCAGTTTAAGTGCTCTAGCCCAGAACAGAGCCCCCAGTCAATAGGTAGGCTCATGAGCAAGCCTAGCAAAGACTGACTGAATGAGGTTGGCTGAGATCAACAACCTACCAGGAAACACAGAATGAGTGAGCTATGATAATAAATGATTATGGCTTTAAGACTCTGCATTTTGGGTTGCTTTGTTGTTTAAGACTCTGCATTTGGGTTGCATTTTGTAACTAACCAATTCAGCTCAAAGTGATTTCCAGCCATAAAAATCCTGGACATACACAATCTGTAGCTGGTCTAAATCTACCTTTTGCACTCCTGAGATAACAGGACTTCTATGGCAATCATTGCCCTCTCTTATGCCCCCTTACAAGCTTACCTGGGTTTGCCTCAAGCCCAGAAGAGCCTTTGCAGGAAGGACTGGTGCTCCCTCCATTAGGTTGCTCAAGGGAAGATGAGTTTGAATTATATGAAATGGTCCCAGCTACAGGAGGTGGACTGATAACTAGCCCCAAAAAGAAAAACAGGAATTAGGTGACTCCTTTCTTAAGCAACAAGGAAACACGTGCACATGCAACCATCCCATTCCTGCCCAACACCACAACAAAATCATCTTTAAAATAAAAGCCATGGAGGGACACCTGGCTGGCTTGGTTGATGGAGCATGTGACTCTTGATCTTGGGGTCATAAGTTCAAGCCCCACGTTGGGTGTAGAGATTACTTCAAAATAAAATCTTTTAAAAATGAATGAATTAATTAAAATAAAATAACAGCCATGGGGCCAAAATGAACATGATAATAATAAATGAATCATTAAATAAATAAATAAGTGGGGAGAAGGTAAAGGTCTTCCTTATAGGAGAATACCAATAAATAAAAAGGAAGGAATCGTGGACATTAGGGGGTAGAAAAAACACTTGACAGCCAGCATGTAATAATTGATTCAAGGAAGAATCATCTGTGCAGGCTAAACCTTGGGAGTATAATTTCGATGAAGACAGGCTAGTTTCAAAGTGTCTCTCTACAAAAATACTTCTTTATTGCAAAAGGAAAGATGGTTAACACTACAGTGGAGAAACCAGGTAAACACTATCATAACCAAGTGATCAAGCTTATACCAACAATTAATGAGGGAGGCCAACATCATGTGCCTCCTGAGGTCAGACAAAAATTGCTATAAACCACAGGATTGTGATTAGAGGCAAAAATGGAAAATAGCCTATAGGTTAGGTAATAATATTGCATCAAGCTTAAATTCCTTACTTTGATAACTGTCCTGCTGTTAAGTAAGAGAATGTCCTTGTTCTTGGGAGATATTCACTGTGCTCTGTAAAGGGGTATGAGGTTTGCAACTTTCAAATAGTTTAGAAAAAAAAAAAGAAGGGAGGATGATAAACCAAGTATGGCAAAATGTTAACAAGTGGTGAATCTGGGTGAAGGATATAGAATATACCAGATTTCTTTGTCCTATTGTTATAACTTTTCTGTAAGTTTGAGAATATTTACAAATTAAAAAAACATCTTTTCTTTTCTTTTCTTTTTTCTTTTCTTTTCTTTTCTTTTATAAAAGCCATTGTCAGAAATAGGATATTGCTTTGCCAGTGTGCTGCTGATTTGTAGCTAGTGTGGTGAGAGCAGATGAAGAATACAGACATTTTCAGTGGCACTGGTCATGTACAGGACAGAGTATAGCAGTAAAGCCAGATGCCCAGAGAGAACGTTCAACTAAGTTTCAATGCAGCCACAGTTCGGTCCTCAGAGGACGTTCTGAACAGCCAAGAAAGTGACGGAGTAAGTTTACAGAGAGACACCATTCCACAGCACGGAGAATATACCAGAGTGCCAGGCCATATATATATACGTGTGTGTGTATATATACACACATACATATGGCTTTCCTTCCAGGAAACAGGCCTTCTGAATCTCAAAGTGCACTGGAGTGATTGCACACAAAGGGGAAGCTCTGGTTATTCTGAAGACATTTGAGTATCTTGCAAAACTTCAGAGCCATCATTACGAATGTCATTTATCACAGCTGCATAGATGTGCAGACATGCCAATTAAGTAGATGATTACACTCTTCTTTCCCCCCAGAGAACACACTGCAATTACAGTAAAAAAAAAAAAAAAAAAAAAAAAAAAAAAAAAAAAGGAGAAGGCAGCCTGCTTCTGACAGCTTTGGGTAACACTAAAGAGGACAATGCAGTTCAACCGGGTTACAACCTCAGCCACACAAATAAATGTGGAACTCCCCGAGAGTCAGACACAACCTCTGCCTTCTCCATCCTGTGCTAAGACATAAAATGCGCTAGAAGCTGAACACACCAGGGAGGCATTCCGGGAGGGCAAAGATTAAGGGGAGTTTTCACAAAGAGGAATCCTCTCTGGAAGACCCTCCAGCAAAGAACTCAGCTGATCCTGCTGAATTGCTTTGGTGTCCTCCTGCCTGAAGGAGGAAACTGCTCTTCACTCACTCCTCCCACAAGCGTCTATCTGCCGGCACATTCACAGCACATGCTAGAAAGCCTGGCTGGAGGTCTGGCTGGCTCTTCATGGGGTGTAGTAGTTGAGGAATTTCACAGACTGGGCATGAAACCCAATTCCATCACTTAGGAGCTCTGGTTGTGGGCAACTTGGTGCTCCTCTCTGAGCTTCTATTTCTCATCTATATAAAGGGGATAATAATACCAACTTCTCCGGGCTTGAGCTAATTCACTATGAAGCAGACTTCACAGGCAAGGACTTAATGGAAGTCTGTTATTATGATTGTGGCAAACAGCCTCTGACCACCACACTCACTGGAGACAGAAGACTTACAGAAAAAAAGTGGGGTTAGGACAGCACGAGGTAAGTGCTACGTGACACAGCGGTTCTCAAATACGGCTGCACATCAGAATCACCTGGGGAGCTTTTAAAATTCTCAATGTCCAGGCTAGACCAATTACATCACTCTTTTGGGAGAAGCCTCAGAAATCAATATTATTTTCAATCACAAGTGAGGCCACCACACAGCCAAGCTAGAAAACCAAAGATAAGATATATTCAAGGTTCTGTGAAAGTTTGGAAGAAAAGAGATGCAGTCCTTGCTGGAAGGCATGGGAGGAGCAAGGAGAGGGTTTGTGGGAGAGATGTTATTTGAAAACCAGATGAGATAAAGACAAAGTGAACAGCACAGGGACAGAGAGCAATACAGAGGACATGCCCAGTCACTACAGAGGATATGTCCGTAAATGCTAGAAACTGGGGTCTCTAAAAACAAGAATTCAAACAAAAAGGATTTGATCCAAACCAAAATACCTCATTCCCTAAGTACTCTGCTTTGTAGGGATTTAATTATATTTACATCCAAACTTAGGCGCTAGATAAGAAAAACATTATTAATCACCTTCTCAAATGCATTATGCTGAGTGAAAGAAGTCAGACTCAGAAAATGGTGTACCATATGATTCCATTCATATGACATTCTAGAAAAAGCAAACTCCAGGAACAAAAAACAAATCAGTGGTTGCCAAGGCTGGTGGTGGGGCAACGAACGAACTACAGAGGGTTGCAAGGGAATTTTCCGGGGTGAAGCAACTATTCTGTATTTTAATGGTACTGGTGGTTATTTAACTGCATGTGTTTGTCAAAATTCACAGAACCGTACAGTAAAGAAGGTGACTTTTACCATTTGCAAAAAAGATTTTTTTTTGCTAGAGGCAAAAATACTATACACTGAGCTAGATGTACTAAAAACTCTAATATGGAAATTCTGCATTCTGCTTTCCCCACGGCCACATAGGAATGACTGCTTTGGCATCTCTTGCCAAACTTCTCCGAGTCTTTCTAGCGTCAAAGGCAGCAGTTCAGAGCCTCTCTCTGGGATCAGTGGGACTCTAGAAGTCACATGCCTTCTTCCGTCACAAAATACTAGCTGCTGCCACCCAAAGCAACGGCAAGGATGCTCTGGCCCCACTAGGAAGAACTTCACGACCTGAGACTCAAGATGGCTCTCCTCCACTCACCACCCTACCTTTATCCGTGACAGTAACTTGCTGCACGAAACTGACATCACAGATTCCGAAACCAGACCAAGGCTTGATTCCTGGGCATATCTGGCCACTACTGACCAACACTTTAAGTGTCTTTTTAAAAAGCCAGCATTTGACTACAGAGCTGAGCTGTACGGCATTTTACACCTCCTAATGTGCAAGCTAAGCAAACTCAATAGCACAAGGAGGGGTTGTTTTAACTGATTTGCACCTGCTCTCTTCATTAACCGAGATGCACATGTAAGATTTGCCAAGGTGTTACTTTTTGGCCGGCTCTGTTCTTCGATTTTTTGACAAAAAAAAACCACAAATAAATGCAGAGTGAGCTGTGACTAACACATTCTGGTTGTTCTCTGATTTATGCAAAAAGAAATTTACCTGTTTGGATTCCTAGCTGGCTGGTTCTAGAAGAGGCTGAGAGAAAATCCTGATCCCAGATAGGAGAGTTTTGACTATAAACTTCTTCTTCTAACATGGATAGAAACCTAGACACAAGAGTGAAAGCAATAATAAGATCAAAATATATTACTAATATATTACTAGAAGGATGAAAACCCTAACCATTTATGGCAAGCACCCCAACATCAGCCTCTCACCTTCAACTCAGAAATACGATCGCGAATTATGACTCAAATGATGATCTGTGGGTGGGCCTGGTATATTCAAATAAAGAAATGCATTTCCACAAATTTATTCTCTTTTGATTCTGCACAGATTGACATAACATAGAATGCACAGAGCATACATCAGTAGGAATGCATTCCACTGAGCATTCCTCAGTGAGCCCCAGAGCAAGATTCCTACCATCTATGTAGCTGTCATTGTTCACCGCAAAACTAATATTTATCGAATGCTTGCCATGTGCCTGCACTGTTCTATGAACTTACTGAATCCTCATACCAACCCAGTGAGTTACATATTTTATTTTTATTATCACACGCCTACTCTTACTACATGACAGACATTGTTCTACGTGGCTGATGTATTATTAACTCAGGTGCTCTCCTAACAAACCTATGAAATGGAACCCATTATTATACTCGTTTTACAGAAGAAAAACTTCAAGCAAAGAGATTAAATAACTGGTACAAAGTTCCACAACTAATAAACTGCAGGGCTGGGATTAGAATAAATGATTGAGGGGCACCTTGCTGGCTCAGTCAGAAGAGCATATGACTCTTGATCTAGGGGTTGTGAGTTCAAGCCCCACGTTAGGCACAGAGATTACTTAACAAAAATAAATAGTTAATTAAAAAAAATTTTTTTTAAAAAAGAACCAGGGTGCCTAGGTGGTTGAGTCAGTTAAGCATCTGACTTCGGCTCAGGTCATGCTCTTGTGGTTCATGAGTTCAAGCCCCACGTTGGGCTCTGACAATGTGCTGACAGCTTGGAGCCTGAAGCCCACTTCGGATTCTGTGTCTCCCTCTCTCTCTGCCCCTCCCCTGCTCGCACTCTGTCTCTCTCTTTCTCAAAAATAAGCAAACATTTTTAAAAAAGAACCAGTGACTACTATGTTATACTTCCGGTCATATTATAAACCAAATGGATGAGACCTTGTTAGAAATACGGATAACCGAGCCCTACCTGGGCTTACTGAATTGAAGTCCATGAGAACAGGCCTGGGTAACCACATTTTGATAAGTACCTTAGACTTCTGTACACCAAAATTGAAGAACTATGATTTAACTACACACACAGATCTATACATCTGGTACTGAAGTACCTTCCTACAAGCCTCTTCTTGAGGCACATTAATTCTAGCGGAAGGATACAGAAAAGAGACTAAGAGCCTGGGCTCGAGAATCCATTTGCCAAGCTCAACACTTAATTTCTGTGACCCTTGGGACACATTCTTAGTTTTCTCTTCCTCAGCTTCCTCTTCCATAAAACAGAAATATCAACAGTAATTCCTGTGCAGGGTAGTCGTGAGGGATACGCTGAGGTGCAGGCGCGAAATGGTGCCTGACCCCTAGTAAATGCTCCACTCATTCGTTCAACAAACACTGACCGAGTGTCTACCCAGCGCCAGATACTGTGTCAGATGCTGTTAGGACAGAGTGAACAGAACCACCACCTTGCCCTCCCGAAGTTCACACGGCAATCGTGTAACAAAGGTTGAATATGAAGAGTCCGCTCTCCTGTCTCTGAAATTCTGAAATCCACAAGCTCTTTAAAAAAAGATCTTCCAGGGGTGCCGGGGTGGCCCAGTCGGTTAAGCCTCTGACTTCAGCTCAGGTCATGATTTCACAGTTCGTGAGTTGTCGCCCCCCCACCCCCATCTGTCTCTGTACTGAGCTTCAGATCCTCTCTCTCCCTCTCTCTCTGCCCCTCCCCTGCTCACTCTCACTCTCACAAATAAATAAACATAAAAAAAAAAAAAAAAAAAAAAAAAAAAAAAAAAAAAAAAGATCTTCCATAACCCATCTGGCAACAATCTGACCCAAACAAACATAAAACTATTTATAATTTTTATAATTATAAATGGATTTGATTTAGGGGGATTGCCTGCATCCCTAAAGCCATGATATATAGTATGCGTTATTTTTAATTTTTTTTTTTGTTTATTTATTTTTGAGAGGGAGAGGGGTGGGGAAGGGTTAGAGGGGGTTGGGGACACAGAATCCGAAGCAGGCTCCAGGCTCTGAGCTGTCAGCACAGAGCCTGAAGTGGGGGCTCAAACTCATGAACGATGAGATCATGACCTGAGCCGAAGTTGGACACTTAACCGAATGAGTCACCCAGGTGCCCTAATAATTTTTGTGTTATATATTACCTTTACAAAATACTGTAAATTTGAACTGTGAAACATTAGTATCAAGGTTTTGGATAACTGATCAAGGATCTATATCATCCTCCTCATCACCATCACTAAAAGTACCACTATTCTCATTTATCAATGACTGCAAAATTCTAAATGGTTTCAGGGATGGGAGAACTTTGTTTTGCATAAGTGAAAACAGATGGGGAAAGGTCCTAAGGGGTCTTTTTACTTGCTGCTCGGGTTAAATCTCAGATTTAAAAACAAACCACTTGAATGAACACCTACCTGCACTCGATAGTTTAATTCATGGTTTCTAGAAACTGCATGAGTCACTTCTACTTCCTAAGCAAGCCACCATTATCTTACGTTTTAAAACATTTTAGTGTGTTTCTTGCCAATTATGGAAAGGCTGACAGCAACACATTCTGAGATCATTTTGATCTTGCTGATGAGAAAGAAGGTGCTTGAGGTCTTTTCCTCTTTTCCTACCTTACACAGCCCTCAAGATTTTCCCAACTGCCCTTCATCACAGAAGTAAATTTCCTTTCCTTTTCTAGGCTCTTTCTCTATCAGTAATTACATGGTCAGAACACTCTTCACAAAGCCCTCCAAAGACTCATCAAGGAATAATGCCATTAATAATTTAGGAAAAATAATTTTATATGCACATGTATGTGTGTTTTATGTATATACGTAAATACATTTATTTCATTGTAATAAAGAACAGCCTCAGAAATGTCATGAGAAAGTGCTTGCTTTATGTATATATATATATATATAAACACACACACACACACACACAATATAAAACTGTATATAGAATAAAAGAACACACTACATGGAGAAATAGAGAAATATCTAAAAACACTAAAAGCAGTTCAGAGTGGTAGGGCTATGGGGGAGTCATTTGCTTCTTTGTTATCTCTTAATCAAATTTTCGTATTTTCATCAGCAGGTGCATTTATCACTTGTAGAATGAAATACAGACACTAAACATTTTTTAAACAACCCTGTAAGTAGGTGGATGGGAGGAGAGGCACGAGTTAAAGCCAAGTGGAAGAAAGGGCACATAGGAGGAGGACAACAAGGACATAAGCCCCGCAAGTACATGTGAGAGCCACAGCCACCCCGCACAATGGCATGAAGCCAGTCACAGCTCTCAGTCTGAGACAGTGTCCAGGACCCACACAGCACCTCAAGCTTCAATATATATGATTCAGCTGCCAAGGCTGTGGGGATAAATCCCTATTGGGCCCAATGTTGTTATATTCAATGACAAGGGATTTCAAAGGAGAAGTGGGTGGTAGTTTTACCCTACCATTAGTAATAGAGAAGGGAAAAAAAAAAAAAGCAGCACTGATTTTTTAACTCAGTAGCAGAAGCACGCCAGAACTATGGGATGAAGGAACGTAACACGTTATAATTAGCAAATATCTCCAAGAAGCAAGATGACTTTGCTATGGGGGAAAAATTGTTACTATGTTAGGTGATTAAAATTTCTCTTTAAGTACTGCAAAAGGTGGGGTAGGGGGAGGGTCCTCTTTGTTCCTTGGCTTGGAGACAGAGAATGACAACTGTAATCTGAAAGTGTAAAATGCTGCTTATGTGGCAAATGTAATAGAGAAATAAGAAAATTGCTTTAAATCCCTAAGGAAAGCTAAAAGGCAGCCACCGAATACATGAGTGTGCCCAGAGATCATAAGCCATTTAGGGGTAAACACCCAAACTCCAATTTCAGTGGTGCTGAACCTTCTTTCCCGGAGAACGCCAAAGTGTTCGTGTCATGCCTGTCTCAGGTACCAGCTGCTTAATAATACATTGAAAATCAGGAAGCTAGGATTTATGTACAAACATTGGGCATTCAGCTAAAGCTCATCAGAATTACCCATGATGCCCTCTACCCACGGCTCAAGATTTGTGTTACACTGCCAAGGAATTTTCAGTCAATTTCTATCAAAAAACCATTTTTGTGGTTGTTTTAGACCTAACTTATTCTTTAAAATTAAAGCTATGTTGGGGCGCCTGAGTGGCTCAGTCAGTTGAGCATCTGACTTCAGCTCAGGTCATGATCTCACGGTTTGTGGGTTGGAGCCCTGTGTAGGTCTCTGTGCTGACAGCTCCGAGCCTGGAGCCTGCTTCGGATTCTGTGTCTCCCTCTCTCTCCACCCCTCCCCCACTCGTGCTCTGTCTCTCACACTCTCTCTCAAAAATAAACATTAAAAAAAATTTTTTTTAATTAAAGCTATCTTTCCTGAGAAACAAACTGGGTAATACAATAATTGTAACTTAATAAAAATCTAGTTTCCCTGCTAAAACAGGGTATTATCAGTCTTTGGTTAAAGAATATCTCGTTTCTTCATCTCTTCTCTACATGAGCAGTTCTTAATGGGCGGGGGAAGACAGACTCTATCATACCTAGAAAGTCCTTTCAAATTATACCTTCGACTTCCCCCACACCAAAGTGCTGCTCTGGGCAGAATGATGCCCCAGAATGAACCGTCTCACTCATGTCTTGCTGTCACTGCTCCATGACAAGTTGGCCACTGCATCCTCAGCCCCTCTCATGAGCAGTCAGCCTTTTAGCTTCAATTTTTGGTTCTTAGCACCGAAAATGCACTTCCAATGTCAATGTTACAGCACTGCAACTCCCTATTCCTTTGACACACTTCTTTCATTTGAAAAATATGTAAGTGATTATTTATACGTTGGAAGCTCTGGCAGGTACAGAAAGCAAGGTGCATAGGAGTCAGGCATATTCTCTAAAAAACTGAGTAGAGGGGCACCTGGGTGGCTCAGTTGGTTAAGCGTCTGACTTCAGCTGAGGTCATGATCTTGCGGTTCGTGGGTTCGAGGCCCACGTCAGGCTCTGTGCTGACAGCTTGCAACCTGCTTCAGATTCTGTGTCTCCCTCTCTCTCTGCCCCTCCCCTGCTCTCTCTCTCTCTGTCTCTCTCAAAAATAAACATTAAAAAAATTTTTTTAATAAAGAAAAAGAAACTGAGTAGAGAGGTACAAAGATCATTTTAAAGGAAGCCTCTCTACTCCTTTCCAGCCCACTGGTGGGGTCTAGTTTAGAGTGAGGGGGCAGGCCGACTGTGGCTGAGGCAGGAGTGATTCACCAGGTCTTAGAAAGGGTTAGAGATCTGGGATGGAAAAAAAACCAGCAAACTAAAGTTGTCCTGCACCACTTCTGAGTAGATGGAAACTGCTTCTACCACTCTCCCCCATGGTCCCCTAGCTTCCTGGCAGCTTCCCCATCCCGAGACCCAGACACAATTACTCGGGTGGGATGAGCTGGGGCTCAGGGAGCTACAACTGCCAGCAACACAGATTGCAGCTAATAACAGATGCGTCCCAAGACGACTCACAAAGGGAGGTGAGAAGGAGAGGGTCCCTTCTGCCTCCTCCCTGGGACGCTTTTGCTATCATTCCTGACCTCGTGGCTGATACAGGCTTTGGAACGTGTGCATCGATCTCAAGCTCCAGGATCAAAGACCTGCAGGAGTGCTCTCTTACTTTGGGAAGTGGGTGAGGATTAGAGTTCGTTTCTCAAGTGGCAGTTTGTCTTTTTCCTGCCTCGCCTGCTCCAGGAGTTGTCGTCTCATAACTGTGAAGACTGAGCGCAGCAGGGTTCTCCCAAACACCTGGGTGGTTTCATACCGAGGTAGACTGTCACAGAACTGGGGCACGTTGCAGTAACACAGCCACCTGTGGTCAGAGGAGACAAGCACCATCAATATCCCTTCAACATCCCAGATGATCTGAAATATCCAAGCATGGTGACTCTCACACCACTAACCACAGGGGAAGAAACTAGGTCAGTATCACTGCCAGCTAATGGAACTTGAAGTCAGATTCGCTCGCCCCGATATAAGCAGTTGGGTCCAGTTCCAGGACAACCATTCTATTCTGCAACATCGCGTGGTGAGTCATGTAGTCAGACACACCTGGGGTCAAATCCTTGCTTTGCCACTTAACGGGCTGCTTGACTTGGAGAATTTAATTATGTTTTTAAGTCTCCATTTCCTCATCTGTAGAATGGGGACAGCAATAATACCTACTTTGTTGGGTGATCACGAGCATTATATGAGATACCATATGGAAAGTGCACAGTGCAACTTGAGTTTCTGGTACGTAAATGGTAATTTAAATAAAAAGAAGAAATTAAGAAGAGGAAGCTGAGGAAGTCCCATTTGTGAAAGATGAGAATTCCACCATCTAGTTCTCTGAGTAAAATTTAAAATGCCTACACAGCACTCACATACCCCCAAAGCCTTGGTGGGAAGATAAAGATCTTCAAGACTATTCAAAACTCAGTCAAAACACAGGAAGTAATGAGCTCCCACCATCTGTCGCTAAGGTGCATTTTCAATGACTCAGTCTCAAACTTAAAAATGCACTTTGGCATTGCAAAAGCTGGATGTGTGCCCAGGCCCAGAGGGAAACCAGGGGCTTTCTTGAGATCAGACCACAGTTCTGGGGTACACTGGCTGTGTAGGGCATACAATGTGGAAAGCTCACTCACCCAAGAGAAGCTAGAGAATGCAAGTTTATTCAACACCAGCCCTCTTTCTTTACAGTCTCCCAGGATGCAAGGTCTCAGATTCCCAGGACCCAGCAACACAAATGTACAGTGGGGGTCAGGGGGTGGCACCAGACCAGGGGTCAGAAGCTTCGTTGCACAGATCTTCATTCCTTGGTAGCAGATCCAAATATCTCTTTCCAGGGCAGGACCTGCTTTCCAAAAATTAACACCCCTCCTCTCTGTGTGCCTTCCTGATCTCCTTTAAAGTGGGAGGGAAGGCTGGCTCTAATGAGCCCAAACTGGTACTGGGAAGCTCCCAATGAACTTTCAAACCCTTAATAAAGAGTGGAATAATAGTGGTTACCTAACTTTTGTTGGTTTTTTTATCTCACTCTGTATGACTTCATACTTCCCCTGTGCGTGGTGGTGATGGCAGTGGTTCATCTTTGGGAAAGAAAACTTTCGTTACTGTTAGTTCATCTGCCTAAATTTAAACCTGACCTTAAAATCCTGCTACCATGTCTTCTCTTCTCTCAGCTTTTCTGTCTTAATTAACACCCAAATGTCACTTTGTTGGTTACAATTCCAAAATGGGCCTCTTACGTGTTGATCTTGTCAAATCACAAACAGTGACCTCGGTAGCAGAAAGGCCAGGAAGCGCATTTATGTTGTGCTTCCTAAGGCACTGCACACAGAACTGTATCACCTTCAAGGCTAGTCTTTGCTGGGTATTAGTCCATGGCCACTTAATGACGTTCTAAGATATTCAGGGCTGAAGGGAGGCCAGCCGCCAAGTGGCTAATCACGAAACGACAAATGTTAAGAGTTAAACAGTTTACAGACCTTAATAATCAGAAATTCGGTTGCATGAGACTTAGACCATCACAAGACTATCAGTAAGACTTAATATTAAAAATATGTCCAATTTTCTGCAATGGAAGACAGAAGACTCTCAGAATTTAGACCAGTACTGTCCAAAATAGCGGTTTATACTGATACTGTGCAGATACAGTAGCCATTGGCCACACGTAAGTACTGAACACCTGAAATGTGGCTAGGACAACTGAGAAGCTTAATTTGTAATGTCATTTAATCAATTTAAAATTTACTTTTAGTGTGAAATATTTTTCCATGAAATATAACTTTATTGCTTTGGTAGGACTCCACTGAGCTTTAACCATTTTAAATTGAGTGAATGAATTGAGATGTGCCGTAGGTATAGAATACACGTTGGATTTCAAAGACAGCACAAGAGAAGGTAAAAATATATCATTAATAATTTTTCACGTCGATTACACAGTGCAGTAATATTTATACATTAGGTAAAATAAAGCATTATTGAAATTAATGTCCTGTGCCTATTTACCCTTTAAAACGTTAACTACTGGAACATTTTAAATTACATTTGCAGCTCACATTATGTATCTATGGGAGGTGCTGATTTTGAGTCTACAGAGCATTTCCATCTGTGAAGGGGTCACAGATATCTGAGACTCTACTTAAAAATGATGTTATTTCTGCTACAGCAATGGTAGGTTTTAAATATCACCATAAAATCATGAAGTGTTATAAAGAAGGGCGTAACAGGCCATGCAATCTTCCCAGGGTAGGGGAAGGCAGCACAGACCATTATCGTCTAGTAAAATGTTTCAAGTAATGGACTTCCATCCATTTCTTCTAAGAAGCATTTTATAGACCATAGTTTATGCTTTTTAGCTTTGTTTTGTTTTTGCTTCCAAGATTAATATTATTTTATAAATCTGTCAAGTGCACAGCATGATAAGAGAGAGTCTGAGTCAACGTGTGGTGTTTTAGTGCTGTTTTAACAAATGACATCGTCATCGCGCATAGTGGGATGAAAAGAAGAAATGGGAATTTGTGTGCATCTCTGCACACACACTCCTCCAAACACTTAACTGTAAGAAAAGATTTTACCTAAATGACTGGTGTCAGGTCATCTAAGAAGTAATGACAGGGATACGGTCCATTCATTTTTGCATGCGTAATAAGAATGGCATGTGTGTGCAATTTACTGGTAGTTCAAATAACTCTCTCAGATTTTTGACACCATTACGATGCTTTGCAACCACCTTGCTTTCTTCAAAATGTGAACAGAACTATGGAACTTGAACACAGAAGACCACGCCGCCCTACTTACTGGCGTGAAAATCCTAAGGTTTGTAGGAATCCTGTGATCTCTCCTAGTGCACCTGAACTAAAGGTTAGGGTCTCCTCTCACCTCATCCACTTTCTCTCCATGCCTCCCGATACGATACTGTCCTAGATGTACATGCCTGATGATGAACGCTCAGTAACACACAACAATGGTTACGTAAAAAAATCAACTTAGTTATATCAAACTTGCTCTGTATTCCTACAAAACATCTCCCCGTATGTGAAATTTGAGAAACACAACAAATGAACATAAGGGAAGGGAAGGAAAAATAAGATAAAAACTGAGAGGGAGGCAAACCATAAGAGACTCTAGATGATAGAGAACAAACTGGAGGGAGGTGGGTGGGAAGGATGGGCTAAATGAGTTACGGGCATTAAGGACAGCACTTGTTGGGATGAGCACTGGGTGTTATATGTAAGTGTTGAATCACTGGGGTCTATTCCTGAAGCCAAGACTACACTATATGTTAACTAACTTAAATTAAAAAAAAAAAAAAAAAACCTCCCCAATATGGGATGACCGTTAGCAACTTTCAGACAGTCTGCACAACTTAGCATCTAAGACTAAATATTTGCCACTTCCAACAGCAGATTCTGTTTGTCAGATGTATTTTAAGAAGTCACATTTCTCTGACACTTTATTTTCAGGTTATTTCTTCATGAAACCATATTAGTGCACCATCATGAAATTCAGGGAACTTCAAAATACTTGTTCAGAGTTTGTTTGTTTTTTTTTTCCCTAAAACCACAGTGATTTCTGGGGGATATATATTGCTATTATTAAGTATATGTTAACATTACTGTGTCATATTTTCAATATATAAAAGTTTTGTTTCAGGAAGTTTTCTTTCATTTTCTTTCATTTTCAGGATCCAGTCTCTTCCACAGAGAATCCTGTATCACCCCACCTCCGTGCTGACGTACAAGCTCCAAGAAGTGTTCAACCGCTTTGCTCTGATTGCTACAAATGCTGTAAATTATATGTGGAACCAGCATGACAGGTCCTGAGGCTCACTTACACATCAAGATAAAGCCTGGTGGTGCCTGCAGCCTGTAATATTACCCATTTTCGAGAAGATTATATCAAGGAGACACCATGCTGTAGTGGCGTGTGGTTTATTAAAATCCTAAGTGGTCATGACAGTGAGGTTTTACTCTGAAACAATTACTGATTCTCATAATTTTCACAGGTTGTTTCTCTCTACTTCCCTTTCTTCGTCAACATGGCGTGACAGTGGGCAAGCGGGGGAGGTGAGTGTTGTCTACCTTCGTTTCCTTATTTATTATTAACAGAGGCTCTTGGTCTACATTCCACCTAGAAATCAGCAGGTTTCAGAACTCATCAGGGTGTATTCATTCCAGACTCTCAGCAGGTTTCTTTTCACCATTGTCAGACTCCACTCTTCTGCCTTCAGTCCTTGGCTCAGGATACTGGGCTGGAAAGGAATCTGCGGCTATCTTTCTATTCCCTATGATGCTGGCTTCTTAAGTTGTATTCAAATAACTATCCTTCTATTCCCTATGATGTTGGCTTCTTAAGTCGTATTCAAATAACGACACTCTCATTAAGTTGTACGTGCTCTAGCTTAAGAGTCCCACGCTGGCAGTGGCTGAGTTTTAGAGAATAACGTGTGTGGGAGGAAAATGATGACTAGGCATCTCCCCAGTGCCTGTTCTGTGTGCCAGACGCTACACACAACACTCAGTGCTCATGAGGCTCGGACAGAGGAAGAAACTGAAGGTCAAGGAGGTAAAGTGACTGGTTTAAAGCACACAGAATTAGCAAGAAATGGAGCTAGGATTCATACCCACTGTTCATTTCAAAGCTCCATCTCTAACTTTACTACTCCTTAAGTATTATTTGTAAGTGCCACCCATTTCTGGGTAATTTCCAAGTGCTACATAGTATTTTTACAGTTTTCTAAAATACACTAATATCTCCATGCTGCTTCACATTTAATTCTTCTTGATGAAACACTTTTTCCTCTGTTAGTAGTGGTAAATACTTTCAGGGGTCTGCCTTTGGCAAATATTCAGCTTTCCAATCGTTAACAGGCAGGTTTAAGACAAAGATAGATAAGACAGATGATAGATAGATAGATAGATAGATAGATAGATAGATAGATAGATTTTTTAAAGTAATCTTTTTTTTTTTTTTATTTTTTATTTTTTTTTTTTTAAATTTTTTTTTTTCAAACGTTTTTTATTTATTTTTGGGACAGAGAGAGACAGAGCATGAACGGGGGAGGGGCAGAGAGAGAGGGAGACACAGAATCGGAAACAGGCTCCAGGCTCTGAGCCATCAGCCCAGAGCCCGACGCGGGGCTCGAACTCACGGACCGCGAGATCGTGACCTGGCTGAAGTCGGACGCTTAACCGACTGCGCCACCCAGGCGCCCCTAAAGTAATCTTTATACCCAACATGGGACTCAAACTCATAAACCCAAGATCAAGAGTCACATGCTCTACTGACTGAGCCAGTCAGGTGTCCCTATATTTTTGATAGACGTGTTTTCTCAACTCTTATTATAAATGACAGTTAAGACACTATAGGACCTATTGTTCATGCAAAATTCTGAAATGAAGGTATAGAAATAAAGACATAATTTTTAAAAAATTGATGTTAAGCACCTAGGTGGCTCAGTTGGTTAGGCATCTGACTTTGGCTCAGGTCATGATCTCACGGTTCATGAACTCGGACCCCGTGTTGGGTGAGCTTGAGCCCCACTTCTCTCTCTCTGACCCTCATGGGATTCTCTCTCTCTCCTTCTCTCTCTGCCCCTCCTCGCTCACTTGTGCCCTCTCTCAAAAAAAAAAAAAAAAAATTGGTGTCGAAGATATCTGTAATTCTCATAAAAGTCAATTAGTAAGAGGAAATACTTTATAACTCAAATTATATCTATTGTAAAAGAAGGGAGGACAGAGAAAAGGGGATATTACTCATGAATATCAGGTCAATGATCTGAGAGGAAAGCTTATCTCATTCCTACATGTCATCTGCTATTATAGAAAATAATCTAGGTAGAAGTGCTCTTTGCACTATCAAAAAACATTGCCTACTCTAAGTCAGGAATACCTCTTGAACCAGGCTTGATGTGTCTATAAAATATAAGGGAGTCAGGAGCCTCAGTAGGTAGAGCATATGACTCACCATCTCTAGGTCATGAGTTCGAGCCCCATGTTGGGTACAGAGATTACTTAAATAAATAAATAAACTATAAAAGGGGGAAAGTACAAAAAGGTAAATAAAATGGATAATTCAAGTCACTCTCTTACTTAAATGAAAATAAATGTAGTCATCCTGTTTTGTGTGGCCCATGTTTAAGATTTTTTTAAGTTAATTCTATTATTCTGCAATTCAGAAACAAGAAAAACAAATTCCCACATTAAGGAGAAAATGTGCAATCCAGGAACATTTGCACAGTCTGATGTCAACCAACAGGGAAACGGATGGGTTAATTATAGTACATCAACCCAACAGACTATAGTGTAACCAGTAAAATATTTGATATGATGTTAAGTAGGGAGACATAAAGGATGCAAATTCTATATATTTTTTCATTCTAACTAATATAAAATATTATTTAAAGGGCAAAGACTGGAAGACAACTTGTATAATGATATTAGTTCCATCATGGTTCTGGGACTAGGGTGATCATTCCTTCTTTATAAAAATTCTTTACCACTATTATACTCACGGTCATTGTTCTTTTGTTTTGTTTTTTGAAATGATTGAGGTTTCTATATAATAATTACGGAGTCACAGTATGGTTATCTAGATCACTGATGTTCAATAGAAATATAATGCAAGCCACATAACTGATTTAAAATTTTCCAGCAATCTGATTGAAAAGGTAAAAATAAACAGATGAAATTAACTTTAAAATATCTTCTTTAATCGAATATATCCAAAATATTATCATTTCAACATGTAATCAGTACTCATGAGGGGCGCTTGGGTGGCTCAGTCAGTTAAGCTTCGGACTCCTGATGTCAGCGCAGGTCGTGAGCTCACGGTTTGTGGATTAGAGCCCCGCAATGGGCTCTGCACTGTGGGCACAAGTCTGTTTGGAATTCTCTCTCTCCCTCTCTGCCCCTCCCCCGTGCACTCTCTCCTTCTGTCTCTCTCTCTCAAAATAAATGTAGTTTAAAAAAAAGTTCTCATGAAATATTTTACATTTTTTTAAATTTCCTATTTTTTGTATAATCTTAGAAATCTCAATGCTAGCCATATTTCAAGTGCTCAGTAGCTCCAGGTAGCCATCAACTATCATACTGGATAGTATAGGACTAGGTGGTTTGGATCTCTCACCCCCCAAAATATCGTGATATTAATAAAAAGCTACATTCTAGAAACATTCTCTCTGAATTGATGGATTACCACAGTAACTGGGCAACCCTCGGCTCACAGACACAGGCAGCAATTTTATGTCTGCAACAGGCTCTACAAGGGCCAAGGGAAAGGAACTGATCGTCTGATTACCTTGTGTAGTTCTCTTTGTATCCAGAAATATCATCATTGGGAGATCTCAGTCTTCGTTGAGACGGTGCCTCCAGATGCCAATAGTTGATGCGGTTTAGGAACATTTTTGCCAACTCAACTATCGTTTGCCTTTCTTTGGCTGGCAGGTGACTAAACTTGTACTGCACAAAGTTATTCACACCCTTAAAAGGAGGGAAGGCCATTTATTCATATAGTTATGCGAGCATACTAATTCTGAACACCCACACAGCACCACTGACGGTTATTAGCAAGAGAACAGACACTTCTCTACTCACAAAGCCTCTTCCTTTTCCCTATTAGAAAACAGGAATGCCCGGAGGAAACTGCACCACAGATCACAGTGGATGAAAAGCGACAAGACAGAGAAGCTGTGAGTTGCTATTCTGTGCCTGCTGCAATCCTCAAGCATCACAGAAAATCAAACTCACAGACTGAAAAGGTCAAAACGTTTCAAATGATAAAATAGGACTATTTTGTAAACTAATTCTTCCTGCACTATCCACATAGATTATATACGATGAGGTTCTTGGATAAACATTATGTTTTTGCATTACCAAAATGTGAATCCAAAGGCCACCAGCACGTCTTCCATTGAACTAAACCAACAGAATTTAAACTCTTTACTATCACTTTTTTTGGCAAGCTTACCAAGGGGAAAAAAATTCTTATTCAGAATTATGAGCTTTTAAAAGAATCTGTGGATTCATTTAATCTTTCTGCAGAACACTCCCATCTAATCTAATTTCAAATAAAAGAACAATGAATTCTTGTTTAACAGAGTTTGGAGACAAAATAAAATTTCTTCTACTGAAAACTGATAAAAATACATTTATTTGTACTAGGGACTCTGATGTCCTATCTTCTGTAATCATTCTCGTTAAGAAATTCAGTCAAGAGAATCTAAGATTTATTTAGCCAAACAATGATAGGCTAAAAAGTGACTCTGACGAGGAGTAGAACACCTCACAGAGAAAGTCTATCCATGTCAACAGATTCCCCAAGTAAACCAGTTTCTTTCCAGGAATCATAATGTAACAGAAAGTCAATTTCTGGATGCAAAATCTCATTTCCTATTTGTGCTTTTTGCTTGACTTACAATGTTTTTGACAATGCTCCTGAATTCCCTCACCTCAACAGGCTTTTTCAGATAGTGCCAAATAAAAGGACAAAGACCTAATTTTAAAACATCAACACCAAAACAGAGCACATTCCGTGTGTTCTTGTGAACTACATGTTCTTAATTTTTTTCTTCCCCAAACACACAGTGAATTCTGAGTATACAGCAACCATAAAAGACAAAAGCTAGATCATTTATTAAATTAAATATTCACTTGTGATGCAAAGGGTCCAAAACAATTTCTCCATACTCATCTCTAAGCATCTCTAAGCTGGGTATAGAGGATGGAAGGAAGACGCATGTAAAAATGCAAAGAAGATTAGGTTTGTTCAGCCTTAGAGCAATAAAAAAGGGCTTCTCTCTTTTTTTTCTTTTTACCTGTTCAATACTAGGTTTTTCAAATGGGGGTTTCTTCTCCAAAGAGCCTTCAACCACAGGTTTTCCTCTTTGTAAAATAGACTTTCTCAAGAGCTGCAAAAAAAAATCATTAAGAAAATCAGTGTCTCTCTCACACACACACACACACAGAGACATACATAGCCTCTGAAGGGAAGTAACCATATTCTAATTATCTTAACTACATGTAAATAAATCCTTAAATCAGTAAAAATGGGTGACTACCAGGTAACCCAAATTTGCCTTCACACCCATGACCAGAGCTATGAGAAACTAAGACCCCTTTCATGTTCTGTGCAGACTAGCACAGTAGCAGTAGCCACCGGACTCTCTCTCCGACTCATTTCCCTTCTCCCCACTATTTCCAGATTCCACTGACCCAGAGGCCTGGCGTGCAACACGCACATTTTGCACATGCCCACCTAGGCCAATGCAGGTGCGCTCAAGAGGGTTTTATTTAACCCCCTGAAAGGCAGAGATCCATTCTGCACAAGTATGGCCAGGGGAGAGGGATGTCTGTAGCTCCCATATGTCGTATGCATCATCTAGAGCCCAGGCCCTTGGGGAAGGAATTCTCTAAGACTCTCAATTGGCAACTTTCACTGCTGCGGTCTTTTCTCATTTCCTTTCCATCCATAGAATGCAGGCCAAGTGTTCTGGCATCTCAATGCCCACAAAACAAAACACTGCTCTTAATCCTTGCCACTGGAATTTAAAGCCCTCAAAGAGCAAATATCAGAGAGAAAAGGGAACACAGAGTCACTAATCAAGACCTAATTTGAAAATAAATTTGGTATTGAAATCCTTTACTTTCAACCTTTGCTTGAATCTTTCATAACATTTACATGGGGGCCAGTCATCACATGACCACACATTTAAGTTAAATCTTTCCCTCCTTTCTCCACTTACTGCCTCTTCAGTGGAAACAAAACACAGCAACCATTCTCCCAGGAGTTAATGGAAACGGACAAATGGCCAAGGTTGAGGATCACCATGTGCTCCCCCTGGGCCATGTTTTGCAAGGGCCTCAATTCCTTCTAGGGGTGCCAATACATTATTAGCATGGGACATTCATTGATCTTTTCAAGGAATTATGCCCATTTTTACAAAAATAAGTATGCAAAAATAAGTCACTATATCTGTTTCTAAGGACACGGAAAGCTTGATCATAAAATCTAAATACAAATAAATTCCCACTGCCTACTTTTTTTACCCAGTTAAAATAAGACCTCTTGGGAACTTGGTCCACTAGGGGTTTCAAAACGGAGATAAACTAACAGGTTGGGGAGTTGCTGAATCTCAGTTTCTTCATCTACAAAAGGACAGAGCTGGGATAAGTGGGCCCATGAAAGACATTTAATGCTAGCATCAAGCATTTGCATCCTTACTTTTGCCAGGCACTCTTCACAGTTCTTTATAGGTCTTATCTCCTGGAATGCGCATAACAACCTTTTGAGGCAGGTGCTGTTACTGTCTGTACTTTACAGATAAGGACACAGGGAGAATGACCCGCCCAATGTCACATTTCCAATGTGATGGACCCAGGGTTCAAACCCAGACAGTGGACTTCCAGAGCCACATTAACAGGGTCGAGATACACCCAGCTTTACGAGGCAGCTTTTCACTGGGTTTATCTTCAACATCTAAGCCTGAGGTTTTTAAGATGTTACACAAATGTGTAATACATTTCATTTTAATTTAATTATTGAGACATAAGACACAGGAACTGCCTTTCAAAAGGTAAGGCATGGGTGATTTATTACTTATTTGCCCAAAAAAGGACTCTGGGGGAAGTGGGGGAGAATGCTGAATAGTTGGGGTTTCGTTCCCATGGGCCAACATATTTGCACTGTTGAAGACGAGGGAGGTGAGAGAGAGAAAACGTACTTCAAAGCAGAGCAATGTTTTCTGGCCTATTTGGTTAGTTATAAAGGGAATCGAGAGGAGGCTGGCAGGATGGAAACCTTGACACCACCTTCACTTCCAGCCGGCGGTGGGGGCTGCCAGGGCACTTCGTTCCAAGACAAATAATAGCGGCAGTCATGCAGACGTTGTTTTTCTTCGACGAAGATCTTTTTCCAAAGAAGCTCTAAACAGCATGACCCTGCCAGGCTTCAATCTGGATGACTCAGGCCTCATAGCCATGTCAACAAGTTGTCACCTGGAGTAGCCTAGTGCCTGCTAATGGTAGTGGGGGATTCAGCTGTTTGTCCTCTTTCTGCCCACCCCGCTCCTCTCTCTCTCTCTCTCTGTCTCTCTGTCTCTCTCTCTCTCTGTTTCCTCTCCCTCACCTCCCATTAACCTTTTTAGAACTAATATCCCCTAGGGGTGCCTGGGTGGCTCAGTTGGTTGAGTCCCACTTTGGCCTTGTAGTCATGATTCTCATGGTCCTGTAGAGCTCACAGGCTCTGTGCTGACAGCTCAGAGCCTGGACCCTGCTTCAGATTCTGTGTCTCCCTCTCTCTCTGCCCCTCCCCCACTTGTGCTCTCTCTCTCTCTACTGCACAAATATTTTTAAAAATTAAAAAAAAAAAAGGATATCCCCAAAACCTAAAAATACACCCTCCCATCTACCTGTTTGTCTCCTATCTACCCCAAAGCCCCATTAGTACTCCCCCCCAAAAAAAGACAAAAGTAAATAAATGAGAAGGGAAAATTATGTTATCAAGTAAATTCACATTAAAAAAGGGAGTGTGGTGCCTGGTGCTGGGTTGACATCCAACTCAGCTCGGGTCATGATCTTGAGGGTCAGTGGGTTCAGGCCCCACGCCAAGGTGCTGATGGTTCTGAGCCTGAGCCTGCTTGATTCTGTGTCTCCTCTGCTCCTCCTCTGCCCGCCTGCCTGTCTGTCTCCTCAAAAAATAACAAACGCTAAAAAATTTTTTTTAAAAAAGCTATGGGAATTGGGCACAAAATTTGCAATGAGATTCCTAGCAGCCAAAGCAAAAGAGGGAAGTCAGTGGAAAATTTTCCTATCCTTATCATATGAAATGAAGCACGGTGCTCATTAAAAGAGGCAAACCTTACGCCTGGGTGGTTTTAGGCCTGTTGTCCACTTCAGCCAGGTCACGACTGCTGGTCCTGGGAGTTCGGTCAGGGCTCTCCCAAGGCTGATGGCCTGCATTCATCTGCTCCCATCTCCCCAGGTCTCCCTCCTGCCTCCCTCCCCTGCCCACACATGCTACCTGTTCTCTCTGTCCCAAAAATAAATAAACGTTGGAAAAAAAAAATTTAAAAAAAAAAAAAAAAAAGAGGGCAGTCTGGGGTTTGAGTGGCTCAGTCGGTTAAGTGTCTGACTCTTGATTTCGGCTTAGGTCGTGATCTCATAGTTCGTGAGACAGAATCCCACATCTGGCTCCATGCAGAGTGCAAAGCCTGCCTGGGATTCTCTCTGATCTCTCCCTCTGCCTCTCTCTCTCTCAAAATAAATAAACAAACATTAAAAAAAAGGGGGCGGGGGCAAACCTTTCCTGGCTACAAGCTCTGAGTACACTGTTTTGTTTGCTGTCTTTGTTTTTAAAAGAATCTTGTAAGTATTAAATAATACGACATAATCAACAGTGCCTCAATAGCAAGGTGTTTTTGTTTTTAATTATTTCCTGTCAGCCCCCTTTAAAAAATGTCATTTTTGGAACTTTTTCTGTCTGTTCCCACCACTAGTTCCTCTCCCACACTGTCCATCCTGACAGCAATCAGAAACTGGGGAGACAACGGTCTGCAGAGAGGGGACGGATGTGACCCAAATGCAGCTGAGGCAGAGCCACGAGGAAGCAGCTACAGGGAATGGCAGCAGGAATCAGTGAATGGGGTCAAGGAGACACAGAGGACAGTGGTGAGGTGCCCAAATCTGGAAATTCTTGATTCCTCCCCTTGAAGTACGAGAGTCAAGGCCCTGGTGCCACCCTCCAACCAGATCTCCCCCCACCTTCCCCTGGCTCACTGGGCTCCACCACACGGGCCTCCTTACTGTTCCCACATCACATCAGACTCACTCAGTGCACGGCCTAGACGGCGGTCCTTCTGCTGCCTGGAAAGCTCTTGCCCCCAGCCCTTTTCGGCAATGGCTCCTGTCCCCCAATTCAGGTTCCTGCTCGACTGTGGTCTCCTCAGAAAGGCTTTCTTAACTGCCCTTCCTCATTATCATGTCCGCCCACCGACCACCATCCCTGCCATTCTGATTCCACTTACCCTACTTTGTTTCTCTTCACAGCACTTATCACCACCTGCAAATATATTATTTACTGGTTGATTGTCTGCCTCTTCTACTGAAATGTCAACTCCATGAGGGCAAGGACTTTGTTTTGCCCACTGATCTATCCCTCATGCCTACACGAGTGCCATGCACAGACCAGGTGTGCAATACATATCTGGATGGATGAATGGATGGGTGGATGGATGGAAAGAAATCCATAAGCAAAAGCAAATAAAGATATTCAAATCTGCATACAAATATGAAGGCTCTCAAGGAGAGTGATGTGTTCAGCACATGGCGGGTCACTTTAGAGACTCCCTCATGGAGAAATGCATGCTTCCACAAACTCTGCGGGCGAAACATACCATGAGCTGAGAACCTTCCCACCCCCGACCTGGGATACAGAAACGGAGCACATCTGAACAATGAGAGAGAGAGAGAGAAGAAAAGCCTTCTTAAAAGGGTGAAACCTCACCTTAAATAGATAGAAATAAACTTGTTTGGTGTCTGCATCTTCTTCCCTGTGGACGCAGGTAAAGAGATATTCCACATCCAACACTATTCCCAGGAGTCTGTTCATCTCTTCCTCTGACACGTTTTCCAGGTGGGAAACATGGGCAGCTGAAGACAAAAATCGAGGGAACATATGTGACACGGGAGCTGGAGACAGCAAACGTTCTTGACTTTAAAACAGAAGGGTCTCTCTCTAAATCTCCGGGGACACCAATGCATTAGGTTGCACTGTAAACAGAGGAATTTCTGAACTCCTGAAAGACCTCAGTCTTCTCTCAAAGTCAACTTAAAATTAAAAGACTGTCAACTTGCTGAGCCCTGGCCTCCCCCTCCAAGACCCAAAGTGGGCCAGCAGCTAATGTGTTCTAATAAACGTATACTTTAAGATCCAGAACTTGTCGGCACCAAAGTCTGGTCCTCATAGTGTTGAATTCTTTTTTTTTTGAATTGAAGTAGAGCTGATGTGCAACGTTACATTAATTTCAGGCGTCCAACGTGGTGATTCGACGAGTCTATATGTTACAGTATGCTCACCAGCCGTGTAGCTATCACAAAATCACCGGCTATATTCCCTATGGTATACCTTTCGTTCCCATGACATGTTCATTCCATAACTAGAAGCCTGAGCTTCCCCCTCCCCACTTCACCCAATTTGCCCATCCACCCAACCCCTGTCCTTTGGCAACCACCGGTTTGTTCTCTGTATTTATGGGTTTGTTTCTGCTTTTTGACAGCGTTAAATTCCTATGTTTCCACATAAGAATTCCTATGTTTCCCCATGCCTGTGAATAGTTCAGTGAGCCAAGAATATCATATTAGTGTAAAAACTGAATAACGGCCCTTTCCCTCAGCCTTTCTGAGCAATGCAATGAAATCTCACTATCGTTGCAGCCAAGTCCCAAGACCTATTTGAGCTTCAGATTCAACGCCTTCCTTCGTCAAGCCCCCAAATGCATTTTTCCCACCTTTGTTCTGTAAGATCTCTAGTTAGTGACCTAGCCACTGACCTTCTCTCCCATGCCCCTGTCCTCTCTTCTACCCAAATCCAGTCCATCTATCAAGGTTATTGCATTTAATCCTCAAACCATCCCATGAATAGGTATTAGTCATCCCATCTGACAACTGGAGAAACTGAGGCTCAGAGAGAATGGATGCTGTTTCATCCAATGTCACTTAGCCAACAAGGCAGAGCCAGGGTCTAAAAGTGAAAAATGCTTGACCCAAATTCCAAATTCCCAAAAAGCACACTTTTTGTTGATTAGCTGATTCACTTCAAGTCCTTCCTCACTTACAAAGGTTCCTCTAGGTAAACCACTCAACCCCTATCCCAGGAGCTCTCCTGGGTCAGGATCCCCTCTCTCATCTCTGCATCCCCAGCATTTATCACTATGCTTGCCACAGAATAGGCAATGGCACTTTGAGGGAAACCTCTTAGGTACAGCTCTTGGCATGCTGGCTTAAAAATGCTTAGACACAGAAGTGTTTGAGATCATTTTTAAAGAGAGACTAAACCACGTAGATTTCCCTTGCCTTCTTAAAAGGAGATGGAACTGTGGCGTCTGGGTGGCTCAGTCGGTTGTGCATCCGACATCGGCTCAGGTCATGATCTCACAGCTCGTGAGTTGGAGCCCCACATAGGTTCTGTGCTGACAGCTCAGAGTCTGGAGCCTGCTTCAGATTGTGTCTCCCTCTCTCTCTGCCCCTAACCTACTCGCATTCTGTCTCTGTCTCTCTCAAAAATAAATAAACATTAAAAAAAAAAATTAAAAAAAAAAAAAGAGATGGACCTAAAGATTATTGAGGAATACTTGTCAGGTGTCAGGCATGGGTCAGTCTACCCCAGAGACCATGGTGCTCTTGTCATTAATCCACGAAACTCAATCATCAGACTGGGACAGAGAATGCTGCTGGTACCCTGGGCTATCTCCTCCCCTTACCACTTCAGGTATACCTTCTGGCGTCCAGTTACGGGCAGCTCCATTTCTCTACCTAAGGGCTTTTTCAGTCATTGTAATCTGCTCTGCCATCCACCTGCCCCTCAACAGCAGCCCTTAACCCAAAGCCAAGACATCCGCCTATAAATAAATACCCCAGATCCCTCATCCCTCAGGCTGAATAACTGGCTCCCAGATTTCCCACTCCCCACCCAAAATTAAGTAGCAGTTGCCCAAGGTGGGAGCTGGCTCAGTAATTCACCCTCTCTTGGCTGCTTTTTCCTCACTTCACCCTTCTACTCCCCTAGCTTCATGCCAAATAAACTACAGGCATTCAAATCCCTGTCTTAGGATCTGCTTCTGAGGGAGCTCAAACTAAAATATGCAGTCAAATGCATTTTCAGAGACTCAAGAGGATTAAATACCAAGAGGCTGAGACTTGTAAATTGTCCACAAGGAAGCCAGATTAAAGAACTCAGAATTAGAGAGGCAGAGGACACCCAACTTTCCTTCCTTTCTCACGTGGAAAAATGATGGAAAGGCAGAGTGATGGGCCCAAGGTCATGGACCATTGGTAAATCAGCATGATGTGCACATACGTGTGCGTGGTGTGCGTGTGCATGCACATATGCACCCCATAGAACACTTTTCAAGGTAAGAGAAGAAGGAAGTTTGTTTATCTGTCTGCCTTGGGCACTGTGGAATAAATCTAATGGATACATCTAAACTAGATGCCAACACTGTATCATCACATTACCAAATAGAAAAAGAGTAACCAACTAAACTATTTCTCAGAACTTAAGTAACTTGTATCTTAAAAAAAATTACAAATATATATGAGTATAAATAAAACATTAATATTCAAATCTATTACTTCCTACTTGGCTATCCAACATGTGACTTCATCATTTCCTAAAAGCTACCCAAAATTAGACTTCCTTTTAGGTATAATGTTTGCCAGGTCACTTTTTTTTTTTTTTTTTTTTTAAGTCTGTGCAAAATTTTCCTTGAGGTCAGTCTGGAGCCTTTGGGACACAGGCCTCATTCTGAAGACAACTAGGTCAAAATTTTTATGTCAGTTATTTACAGAAATAATTTTACTGAAAACTGCTTTTGCCTTGTAATGTTTAATTGCTTTCCAGTGATAAGCTATGAAAGCAATCGGTTTATAACATAACATCAATTCCTTCAGATTCTCCACCATACCAAACAGTCTAATTAAGGTGCTAAGATAAGTGGGTTTAACTCATAGAAGTACAGGCCATGATTTATTTTTAAAACCAGTGGTTGACTTTCTTTAAGCCACAAAACACTTAACCCAAATGAATTCTTCGTCTTTTTTTTTTTTTTAAGTAGGCTCCGTGCCCAATCCAATGCCACTCTTGAACTAATGACCCTGACATCAAAACCTGAGCTGAGACCAAGAGTCAGATGCTTAACAGACTCAGCCACCCAGGAGCCCCAGCCCAAAGGAATTCTTAATCAGAATTAGAAAAAGTTGCTCTGATTGAAACAGAAGTTGGAGGCATCTACTATCAGAAGGCGAGCTTGGGGGCATCCCCTCCCCTTGCTGGGGCTCTACAGTTTGAAAACCACTGTTTAGAACCATCATCCAGCGTATTCTGAAAAAGAGACATTAAAATGCTTAAAAAGTAAGACCCGGGGCGCCTGGGTGGCGCAGTCGGTTAAGCGTCCGATTTCAGCCAGGTCACGATCTCGCGGTCCGGGAGTTCGAGCCCCGCGTCGGGCTCTGGGCTGATGGCTCAGAGCCTGGAGCCTGTTTCCGATTCTGTGTCTCCCTCTCTCTCTGCCCCTCCCCCGTTCATGCTCTGTCTCTCTCTGTCCCAAAAATAAATAAATGTTAAAAAAAAAAAATTAAAAAAAAAAAAAAAAAAAAAAGAAATGTCAAGGTTTATGGGAAAAAAAAAAAAAAAAAAGTAAGACCCGAGGAAATTTCTTTCCTGCTGATTCTGCCCATAATGAAATCCATGATCTCTCCTCAAAGCTCTGTGTGTAAGCCAAAGCACAAAGGACTAAGGAGCTGAAGACTGGGAGGCCTGTGGGTTAAATGGAACAGCAAGTTTTCCAGAAGGAGGGAGGGAAAGGGGAAAGGCTGTGCCCGGCAAATGGGGCTAACATTTGCAGCACAAGAGGGTCGGTATCTCTTCCTCTGAGAATAAGGGTGGGTGTGGGGTGAAACCAGCCCCCAGATTCAGGCGAGCTTCCTCTCACTGTCTCTCAGAGTAACCACTTTTCCCTGTCCCTACCTTGCTGGTCATTGGGATCTCAAGCCTAGAGTACCAAAATAGCCCAGACTGTTTTCTCTCTCCCGGGACACCCTTCCTAAAACACCACTTTCTTCAAACAACCCCTTCCCTACCAAATCCAAAGACTGACTCCTTGTGGCTGCTGACCAGAAGTGGACAGGACTTACTCAGGAGCCCACAATCAACCCCAACCCATGCAAACACCCAGGTGCACTTCACTCTAACTACAAAGCTAAACTATTTACTATACTGACAATCAACTCATATTTAACTAAAAACGGTCAGTCATAATTGAAAAAAACCCTTCTTTCAATTTGGAAAGCAATCTGTGCTTCAGTTTGGAAGCGCATTACTAAAAAATAAAAATAAAAGTAAAAATCTGTAAACTACGTTGTACAAATCTATAGCAGTTAATCTGCCACAGAACTCGTAAGGCTGAATCATTGCTATTTAAAGCTTTTGTAGGGGCCCCTGGCTGCCTCGGATGGTAAAACATGCAACTCTTGATCTCAGGGTTGCAAGTCTGAGTCCCATGTTGACTGTAGAGATTACCTAAAAATAAAATCTTCAGGGGCCCCTGGGTGGTTCAGTTGGTTAGATGTCTGACTTCAGCTCAGGTCATGATCTCGAAGCTCTGTGTATTCAAGCCCTGCATTGGGATCTGTGCTGACAGCTCAGAGCCTGGAGACTGCTTCAGATTCTGTGTCTCCCTCTCCCTCT